GTTCTCTTAGGATAGTCTTGCTGTTAAGAGGAAATAAACCCGGTGAGAAGAGACATGCTTGTCTTACGTATTTTTTTTATTTCTACAATAATATTGCTTGAAAAATTACTGTAAATAACTTGTAAAGAACAAATGTCTGTTCTCAGTAGTCTAAACCAAACGCAGCTTTAAATATGGATGGGCAGGTTTGCCATTGGCTAGCCACGGAAGTAGACAAGTAGCCATTATATATATATATATATATATATATATATATATATATATATATATATATATATATGTGTGTGTGTGTGTGTGTGTGAATGCGTGTATATATATATATATGTGTGTGTGTGCGTGTATGCGTGTATATATATATATATATATATATATATATATATATATATATATATATATATATATGTATATATGCGTGCATGTAAATGTTTTATATAAAAAATACAATGATAAAATTGTGAACTTAGTCATAACAGGAAGTCAGAAAATATAACAAAATTATAAAGAGAGATAAATAATAAAAGTCAGTCTCTAAGTATTTGCTTGTCTTTTTACAGTTAAGCCTCATTGGGGTTATATTGAATTCTATCTGATGACCGATATTCAGTCGTTTTTTTTTTTTTTTTTTTAAATGGTAACTAATACTTTATGACAGTTTATCAAAGACAATTTATCATTTCGGATTTAACCTGACATAATTTTACATTTCCAACCATGGCCGATGTTATCTGCTAAAAGATAAAAAATACAGTAGACGAAATTTTGAAATTATGATTCACTACACACATTTTTAAAAACATGGCTACTGTCAGATGTAAATATCAGAGAAAAAAAGTAGAAAAATCGGAATCCAAATAAATATTGTTGGACAGAGGCCATAATATGTATTAATAAATATTGCCAATGAACAAAAGAAAAAACAACAAATATAACTAATTATGGGACAGAGGCTTTAATACATATGAATACGTCTTGGCAATAATAAAAAAAATCGGTAAATGATACAATTATTTTGGGACAGTAGCTATATTATGTAAAAAATACGTCTTGTCAGTCATAAAAAAACGGCAAATGGCAAAATTATTTTGAGACGGGCTGTAATAGTTTTATTACGTCAGGCCAATAATAAAAATAATCGGCAAATGGCACAATTTTTATGGAACAGGCCCTATAATATGTATTAATACGTCTTGCCAGTAATAAAAATATCTGCAATGGCACAATTTTTATGGAACAGGCCCTATAATATGTATTGATACGTCTTGCCAGTAATTCAAAAAATCTGCAATGGCACAATTTTTATGGGACAGGGGCTATAATATATATTAATCTGCGTTGCCAATGATCAAAAGAAAAATTGTCAAATATAACAACTATTATGGGACAAAGATGACAATAATTTGTCCCATTTTTATATTTTTCCTTCAGCAAATGTAAATACTCTCTTTCTGTTTTCCTTTTCTCTGTCACTATGTCTACGGAGGTTAAGTTGACATGTGACTTGGGGTGACATTTTTGGGGGCCACTTTGTAACTGATAGAAGAAATTAACGTTGTAAACTAACTTTTTCGTGCATACATATTCTCTGACTTTTGGTGAGGAAACTAAACGAAGAATAAAATAATAAGTCGCCAAGCGCTTAAGTCTGTAAGTTTGGCACGTCAAATCGGATTATCGTATGTAGGAAGGAACAAAAAATAACAATGGCTTCTATGGAGATAATCAATATTCGCACGTGAAGTCCTTTTTTTCTGTTCGTTTTAACCACTGTGATTTTGTCTAAATATTTTTTAATCTTTTCCATTCGAAGTTTTTTTTTTTTATCAGAAAGATAAATCAAATCCACATTATAAAACAAGAAACTATTTTGGCAAGAAATCTCAAAATGCAACATCATTGTTCGCAACCCTTCATTTCGATAGGATCGACTTAATACGCTTATACTAAACCGTTTATTGAATTTAAACAATTACCACATCCTTAGCGTAATGTTGCAACTGGTCCCTTCCTCAATATTATAATTGTTATGGTAATTTACCCCAGCATTCATAGACTATACCAGTTATGAATAGGAGCAGGTACTGCCTTTTTCAGACAGAAGTTTCCAGCAGTTAGCTCTGACAGTCGGACCAAACATTCTTGCTTTAACACTCTCCTTTGTATATGTTTGTATTACTGTTTCTGTTAATACATTTGTTTGAATCAATTCCTCTCTTTTTGTCTTTATTTCTCAATTAATGATTTGTAAATTTTAGTTGGGATTTTGTTCCATTCTTCTTTGCATTTGGTCCTCAAATCCGGGATGTTTGTTGGAGCTCTCAATTGGATTTTTATCCATTCTTTTCAGTCTATTGTAACGGTTATTGTGGCGGGAGTGTTTTGTTAATTTGTTTATTATTTGCTTGGATTAATTTCTTTTACTTGTTTGTTTCTTATGTATTTTTATTTCATTTATTTTTATTTATTCTTTTCAGTTTTTAATTTTTAAGTAACGTAGTAAAAATTTGTTTTCGTGTCTGCATTTTGAGATGAGTTCTGATCGTTTATTTAGTAGTTTGTTTTGGTCTGGGAAGGTAAATATCGTTATTTTTACCTTCATGCTGAGTTTACAAATTTTGAATTGATTTTTGTAGGCTGATGTTCTTTTCCTTATTTTCCATGATATTTTTGCTGTGATTTTCGCTTTGTTTTTAATTTCCGAGATATACTTGGAAAGCATTGTGCTGTATTTAATATTTGTGAAAGATGTTTTGTGTGCAGTTTCTTTGTTTCCAAGGTCCTTCAGTTACTCCGATGTATATTTTTCTTTATTATCTGGTGATTTTACCGTGGCTTGGTATTTTACGTTGTTTTGTAAGCAATTACCGTTTAAGGGACATTCGTTCTTTATTCTGCAGTTACATGTGGCTTTAATTTCTACGGCTGGTTTGTTGATAGTTTTCCTGATGTGCTTTTTTTTTTATTCGTGTCATGTTCTCGGTGCAACTGTAGCTGATTGTTACTGTGTTTTTGTTGAATATTTTGTGGAGAGTGCTTGATCTGGGGAAGTGCATGTGTCAGAGTTTATTGAATATTTTTCCTACGTTTGTTTTTACGTTTTTGCTGTACGGTGGGTTGAACCATATTATGTTTCTCTTCCTGATAGCTTCCTTTGTGCTCTGTGGTGAGTATGTGAGTGTTGCCGGGAATCCACAATCTTTTAGGGCTGTTTCATAGTCTTTCTTAGCTTTGTTAAATATGGCTTCAAATGAGGAATTGTCGGAAAGCCTGTAGTTAATTGATTTTGTTATCAGCTTTATTATAGATGGCGGGTGATTGAAAGATGTGTGTATGTACAGTGGTTTATCATTGAGTTTTCTGTATAGCTTATATGTAATTTTTCTTAAGATGAAGGCGACATCTAGAAAATCTGCTTCGTTTTGGTTAGTTTTTATGTCTATGTCGAATCCGTTATTTTTGAAAATCTTTATTATTTCTTTTCTAGTTTTCTCTGTGTTTTGTTTGTTATAGTTTCTTAAGATTATGAGACCGTCGTCCCTGTAGAGTCCTGTATCATTTCTATCTATTATTTTGCTTAATTCGTGTAGTAAATATGTACCTATGAGTTTGCAGGTGTGCACCATCAAAGCTTCTCATTGTAGTGTCAAAGATCCCTTATTTCTTTCTCCATGAGTTTTCATTGTCGAATAGCAGTGATTTAAGGTTGTGTTTAATGATATTGATTTCGTTTTGTGTTTATTCTTATTTAATCCTGGGCTAAGATGATGGCCTTATCTAGCATTGGGTTCTGTTATAGACCGGTGGAATTCTTTTATATCTAATTGTACAAAATGGCAGTTATGTTATGTTTTATGCTGTGGAATCAGTCTGCAGTCGCTTTTGTGCTTTAGAATAGACTACAACAATCAATCCAAAAATTGGACGAAAAATAGCTAAAATTACCTTTCGAGACAAAAAAAAACTGCTAAATAAACGATCAGAACTCATCTCAAAATTTTTACTACGTTACTAAAAACTCTAAAACCGAGGAGAATAAATAAAAATATATAAAATAAAATAAATAAAAAACAAGTAAAATAAATTGATCTAAATAAATAAATAGACAATAAACAAATTAACAAACCACTCCCGCCAAAAACACGTTAGAATAGACTAACCACAATGCACCACTCAGCCATATGTATAGATAGTCGAGAAAAAAGGCAACACATGTGTCCTGATGATTGCATTTAGCATGAAACATTCTGTCGCCTCTGAGTGTTCACTTTTATATTTTCATTCGCTCTATCGCAGATTGATTTTATATATATATATATATATATATATATATATATATATATATATATATATATATATATATATATACACACCTCAAGCTTTGTTTGACCAGAAGGTCCTACGAGGCACAATTGTCAGATCTAACACACGCACACACGCACACACATACACACACACACACACATATATATAGAACAGATGGAGTAAGATTCCACTAAGAAGCATTTACTTTTAAAAAGTGCTCAATACAAAAGTAGAGCAATATATTATTCTTATTATTTTTATTATAAAAAAATTTATAAGAAAAACATGTTGAAATCTCTACATAAAAGCTATGTTTCAATACTTTGTTTGTACTTCTTCAGGCGATGGTAAGTAACTGGTGATTAAATCATATTTAAGTAAATTTCAGAAGAAAGTGTTACTTCTTTTCGAAAGTTAAAGAAGGGGGCATAAGGTCAGAATTAAAATTAGAATTGTGGTTATGTTTTTATTATAATCTTTTATAATAAATATAATATATATATATATATATATATATATATATATATATATATATATATATATATATATATATATATATATATATATATATATATATATATATATATATATATGTGTGTGTATGTATATGTGATTAGAATAATAAGTTATTAGTTTAAGCCTAGTTATTATTAATTTTAATCGAAATTGAGTATTCTGCCACTGTTTAAGTGAATTCTTTAATGTTTCCTTCTTTCCTCTCTTTTTTTTTTCAGAGGATTCCAGCTGTTATGTTATTTGGCCATCGTTGAGTTTGTTCAACGCAAATCTGAATAAAGCTGTTTGTTTTCTTTTCTCTGACAATCGGTGTTACCCCAGCGGAAGAAGTGACAGTAACGATCAGCGACAAAAGAGAAAGAATTTGCTTTGAATCAATCCAACAAATGCTTAGTTGAGATTCTCGGTGCAGCGTGAAAGGAGCTAATATGGAAGGACGTCTTGATATTGATGGCACGTAATAGCCTTACAGAATTAAAAAAAAAAAAAGATTTGTCAGCCCAGGACAGAATGGGTTTATTATTACGTAACATAGCAAATGCGGTCATCGGCTTCATTTTTTTAATAGACATACACTCTTTCTTTTTACCCTTTAGATAACAGAAAGTAATGCTGGCAATGCAAGGAGCTGTTTCCTTTATGATCAAGGCGTTCGTTTTCGTTTCTTCTCAAGATATGCCTTCACATAAATTAACTTATTTTTCTACAGTGTTCCTTGGTATCCATATCCTCCTGGCGTCAGTTTAAACTAACATCCTCTTATTCTTCCCATACATGTAGGCTATAAATATTGTTGTAACTTAGAGAAGCTTACTGAATAGAATAATCAAACGAAGGTTGGTAATGAACGATAATACTTAGGACACGAACAACACATATAAGATTCGCCAGCGGCGCGTAGAATAAATAGTCAACTGCTAGAAGTGAGTGAAATGTATTCCACAATGAATCATCAGATGCAGACCAACATACAGTATTTACGCAAATTGTGACATACCCATTATCGTCCGTACGTATCCTACAACAATTATAAACCAGTATTCTGTAACTACAATAGGGCAATATCTGTCTATATTTCTGAGATGAGGTATTATGTACATTATTTACCTTATTCGGACTATTGTCCTCATCTTTGTCGCCATATTTATTAGAACGTTTCGGCTCTTGTACGATCCAGCCTTCTTCAGGTCGTTGGAATGTCGAACTGAACCCTTTATTTCGCTCACTGGGGTAGACTGTTCTAGTTCCACGTGCCATGTCTAATGGATCTCAGTTGTCAGTAATCTCCTGTTAATTCCCCTCTTCAAGTTCTCCACTGCCTTAATCGGGTATAGAACTCACACTCTTTGGGTCCTGGCACTGGATCTAACCAACGCCTTTATCCACTGTGCCATGTGACCTTGAGGCGTTGGTTAGATCCACTGACAGGACCCAAAGAGTGTGAGTTCAATACCCGGTTAAGGCAGAGGGAAAATTAACAGGAGATAACTGATAAGTGACATCCATTAAACATGGCACGTGGAACTAGAACAGTCTACCCCAGTGAGCGAAATAAAGGGTTCAGTTCGACATTCCAACCTACGGAAGAAGGCCGGAGCGTACAACGGCCGAAACGTAGTAATAAATATGGCGAGAAAGATGAGGACAATAGTCCGAATAATGTAAATAATGTACACAATAGGGTAAGTCTATTTTGGAACCGTGGTATTTAAAAGTTGGGGTTTCACATGAAAAATAATGACACAAAATATTTTTTCAAATCGTTATCGTTTTTGAGGAAATGAGATTAAAGATTACGTTCAAGTTCAAAGTCGTAGCGCTGGAATTTCATTCCGATGATCAGTGAAAGCCTTAGAGGACAGCCTTATAGGACAGCCTTATAGGACAGCCTTATAAAACCTATAATTTATTGAATCTTTCCAAAGACAAGATGCATGACACAAGCAGATCATTGCTAAATCATTGTGCCATCAAATAAGACCTTCATTTACTTCAAAAGGAAATTATACTGAACAATTTAACTATATTATGATTTAAGATCTTATACAGAGCAGTAGATTTAGTGTGATTTTCAGTAAACAATGCAAATTTAAAATATTTTGTCTTATAGTAGTATTTTAGGGTTATTATACAGTTTTATCTATTTCCTGTTTTTATTAATTATGATCTAACTAATTATGAATCGCCATAAGCAAAATATGCAATTTTTTATTGTATTCGATCGAATACAGTTAAAATAATGCATATTTTGCTTTCGTCATATTCCTTTTTAACCTTTTGTTTGTTTACTATTCAGACTAAACTAGAGTCATAGTGTTTTTCTGAGCTCGGCTCAGATGTAGCACAAGGCTGAAGGTATAGAGCACCCAGGATCGAACTCACTACTCAGCCGTAATTGATCTCTAAACTAGTCTTATATGTGTAGTTGTTTCTTTTTGTAGTGTTCTACCTTTGGCTTTTAATAAACCTGTTGTTTTTCGTTTTCAGAATATTAATTGCCGTATGGCGTTTATCTAGCTGTCGTTAGGTACACACGCGTGTGAGACGGACGCGTAATCGGATGGCAAAACAACTAGAATTTTTTTAAAGTGATAATTATACTGAAATATATAGGAAACTGATGTAATGAATATGCATACACCTGGGTTCCCCCTCACAGTAATATGATTGGCTGGTGTCAGCTGTAAATACAGACTGATGTGGAGGTACGTGGAGGACGCCTATTGTCTTCGCCTATTGTCTTCACCTATTGCCTACCACTACGACAAGGACCAGTCCATTACGGTTACCTGATAGATTGTCCTACTCGATTAAGGGGTCCAAAACCACTTTGCTACTTCGAACAAATATATCCCTTTCCGGAGCATATCAGTAACCTTCCCTGATTTAATCTGAAAAATCACGAAAATATACGAACTTTAAGCAAAATGATAACAATATGTGAGAAAAGGCGCCAGTTTAACCTATGCTGTAGGTCAGTCAATTTCAATTGACGCCTTCTTTTCTTCCATACTTTTAAAGTATAATTCTACAAAGCGAAAATTTCAATGAAATATGTTGGAAAATTGCCAACTTTTCACTTCGAATCAAGAAAATACGAACTTTAAGCAAAATAGTCAAAATGGAGAAATGTCAGTGTTATTTTAAACTGGGACCAGAAATATATGTGTTAATTGAGAATGTCTACTAAGAATTTGTAAACATTTTAATTTTATTTTTTTCTCTTTTGTTTCGCTTTTATTGTTCTTGTTCCCTACAAGTTTGACATTCTTTCATTTTAGCTCTATGGATAAATTATGGGGATTTTTCTTGCTTATGAAGAAAATAATTAGATATTTCATTGACAGACAGTGTAATTGTAGTCATTGTAATATGAATGCCATGTTCAATATGGTGGAATGTTTGTGAAATATGGAAGAATGTAGATAGTTATATTGTAAATGAAATTGAGGCTTTATTTAGAAAACTATGAAGTGTTTTTTTTTTAATATTCCAAAGTTCAACCCCTAAATCTGTCGAAATTTGGTTCTTCCAATTAAAGAATTAAAAAAATATTTTTTATTCAGGAATTTTTAAGAAGATACGATTCAACACCATTTATAGAAGATTTTCACGATTGATTTGTTTCAATCGTAAAGATCCTAAAACTCTTTGGAATCGATATTATAAGCCAACTTATGAATAAGAAAAGAGGAAGTAGATTTAGTTCACATACATTTACAGGTTTTTATTTATGCCACATAGGAAGGACATTAGATTAATACAGAAACTATACTGATAGGAAATGGCTTTACTTTCGGACACAAAATAAATTCAGTCAATATACAAAAATAGACAGGGGTGTAAGACAAGAATGTGTTCTCCCACTGGACTTATTCAACCTATACAATGAGTCAATTCTGAGAGAATTAGAAGTTATACCAGGATACATCGACAACATGAGATGTGCAAAAGACACAGTGTTGATAGCAGACAGAGAAAAGAAATTACCTACCACAGTATTTCGTGAAGGAAAGCGATAAGAAAGTATTAAACCTCAATTGCAAGAAGAGAGAATGCATGATTTTCAGCGTGTTTATCAGGGACTAAACCTGATAATAGAAATTTTTGTGTAGATGGCCAGAATATTTTGAAGTAGTTCCTATATTCGGACAAGATGAATTGGGATCAAATACAGATGACATATGGATCAGAATCCGACAAAATGGAAGGATAAACAACAAATAGGAAACGTTTATGAATCTAACATGTTTCCCTTTTATTAAATCTTCATCAGTAAATTAGGTATGGAAAAAAATTCTCGTCTTTTTATTTTGTGTTGTTTTATTTTCATTGGTGATGCAAACTTCAGGTGCATTTGTCTTGTCCAGCAGCGTCCTTGTGCATAAAGTATGTCTCCGTACTAATTCTAGTATGTCTATGCGGGATTCGAATGATAATATATATATTGCGTCCAGCATGAAACAGCCTGTCGCTTCTGAGTGTTGACTTCAATGTTCACTTATATATTTATATTTACATACGCTCTATCTCTGATATTGAGCACTTTATCCCATAAATATAGGCCGCCTTAAGACTATGTTTCTTTATATATGTATATATATATGTATATATATATATACATATATATGTATATATATATATATATCTCTCTCTATATATATATATATATATATATATATATATATATATATATATATATATATATATATATATATATATATATATATGTATGTATATATATATATGTATATATATATGTGTGTGTATATATATATGTATATATATATATATATATATATGTATATATATATATGTGCATATATATATTTATGTATGTATATATGTATATATATATATATATATATATATATATATATATATATATATATATATATATATATATATATATATATATATGTGTGTCTGTCTAGTTGACATTATTTATGTTTTGAGGGTATTCGCATGTTGATTTGAGTGAAGTTTTAATGTCAACTCTTCTCATAAGAGTTAAATATATGTCACATCCTTTAAGAATGGATTTGATAAAGATTGGTGATGTAATGTAGTCCTTCTTCCGTATGCTTATCGTTGGTAAAATCTTTTAACATGTCTCCCTTTAAGCATTTTCCACGTAAAGAATTATGTTCTTTTTTAATTACGGGGTCATTCGTAAAATCAAAGATAAGGCCAGTTTTGTTCCTATGTATTACGTTAGAGTTTAAATGGTTTTCTCAACGCAAGTCTCTCTTGTTTTCATAGTTGTTGCCTTTGAGCTTTCGATACATCTCACCAGTGTAAGTTTATCTACATTGCAAACATTCTGTTTGATAAATCTCGGCCTCTATTTTTTGTTACTTATTGTATCTCAAGACAAAACAATGAAGTCGATTTTCATTGGCTGAACGAGCGTGAGAACGATAAATAGAGAAAGGTTTTCGGAGATTTGTTTCTTAAAGTCCCAAAACCTCCCAGCATGAGGGGGCTATACAACATTCGAATTTCTGTGTCATATTTTCCCTCGTCTGTTATAGCAATTCCCAGATGGTTAAATTTCCGTGATTGCTTTTATTTTAACGTCTCCAATTCATAGCTCGTGTCTTGGTCTGTATTTTTGCTTGCTAACGATCATACATACTCTCTTCTTAAAAGAATAGTTTGAAAGATAACATTTCCATTCTGAAAAAGACTCCATCAAAAACAGAGACAGAAAGAAAGGATCGGTAAATATAACTTTCTAACAAAAAGAATTTAAAGGGGTCAAAGGACACCAACGTCGAATCGGTCCTACTTTACGGCCAAGAAACCTGGCGGGTAACCAAGACTAACACCCACAAACTTCAGACATTTACCAACCGATGTCTCAGGAACATCCTCAATATCAGGTAACCGGAAGTCGTCTCCAACGACCAACTGTAGGACAGGACCAGACAAGCCCCAGTCGAGAATCACATCAAAAGAACGGAAATGGTGATGGATCGGCCACACTCTCCACTAGCCTGCGTCTCGTATCACCAGGCGGGAATCTAGAAGGGAAGCAAAAAGTTGGTCGACTAAAACAGACTTGGCGTAGTGTTGTCGCAGAGGTGAAGGCAGCCGGTACGACATGGGCAGAGCTAAAGAAGATCGCCTGGAACCGCGTCCGTTGGAGACGCGTTGTTACGACCCTAGATTCCCTAAGGAATCATGGGGCATAACTAACTAACTAAAGAACACCGAGAAACACTAACACCTTCCAGAAAGCAGTCAGTTGCACCCCAAAGGCGAGAAAGCGTCAAATAACTGAAAAATCAACAATCAACTTAAATTAAAATTGTGACTTTCAAGCTTGAGGGCGGACCCTTTCTTTAATCAGCATCTTAATTGAATTATAGCATAGTGAATTATATGACAATTGTCTGGGAAGAAATATTCAAGTGTCCTTGGTGACCGATTGCAAACACGATTTAATCAGATATTTGGCACGTAATCAAAATAGCCGAGTCTAGAAATGTGAAAGGTTCAGACTGAAGTAACACGAGATAGACATGTGAAAATTGAAAAGCTCTTTTCTTAGATTCGACTGCATATGAAGTAACGCCCAGCTAATGATCTGTACGGGTGAAGAAATATTGTTTTTAATTAGCAACATCAAATAATGCCACTCCCAGTTTGTTTAAATATATGTTACTGATGGTCAATAATGTATTTTGTTACATATTTTTATGCATATTCACCGCTATCTTCATTGACTAAGTCGATTTTCTTTCTTTCTTTGTTTCCTCTTATAATTTCATTCTTCTTTCTTTTCCTCTAATCATATAGTTTATTTCTTCCTTTCTTTTCCTTTCTGTCTTTGTAAATTTACGTTCTTTTTTTCCTTTCATTCAACTATATGATTAAATTATTGTTTCTTTCTTATTTTCTATTCGTTAGTTTTGTCTTTTCCTCTAACGATATAATTCTTCTTTCTGTATTTTTTTTATATTTTATTCTTATTTGTTTCCAGTTGATTTCTTTTTTTCTTTCTTTTACTTTCTTTCTTTCTTTCTTTTTTTCTTTCTTTCTTTCTTCTCATATTTTCATTTTTCTTCTTTTCTTTCCTCTATGGTTTATTTCGTTCTTTTCTTTTTTTACTCTATTTTCATTCTTTTTTTTCTTCCTTTCATTCAACCATGTAATTAATTGATTTCTTTGTTTTAATTTCGTTCTTCTTACTGATTTAATCTTATGGCATGCTTTTTCTTTATATCTTTCTTTATTAGTATATTTTCTATTCTTTTTTCTTCCTGGTTTGATTTCTTTCTTTTTCTCTTTCTTTCTTTCTTTCTTTCTTTCTTTCTTTCTTTCTTTCTTTCTTAGTACATTTGAATTCTTATTTCATTTCATTCAACCATACAATTTCTTTCTTTCTTTCTCACTTTCTTTTTCTTTCTTTCTTTCTTTCTTTCTTTCTTTCTCTCTTTCTTTTTTCTCTCTCTTACTTTCATCCTTTCTCGCTTTCTTTCTTCATTTATTTTTCTTTCTTTTTTCTTTCTTCTTTCTCTCTCTTCCTTTCTCTCTTTCTTCCTTTCTTTCTTTTTCTCTTTCTTTCTTTCTTTCTTTCTTTCTTTCTTTCTTTCTTTCTTAGTACATTTGAATTCTTATTTCATTTCATTCAACCATACAATTTCTTTCTTTCTTTCTCACTTTCTTTTTCTTTCTTTCTTTCTTTCTCCCTTCCTTTCTTTCTTTTTTCTCTCTCTTACTTTCATCCTTTCTCTCTTTCTTTCTTCATTTATTTTTCTTTCTTTTTTCTTTCTTCTTTCTCTCTCTCTCTCTCTTCCTTTCTCTCATTCTTCCTTTCTTTCTTTTTCTCTTTCTCTCTTTCTTTCTTCCTTTCTTTCTTAGTACATTTGAATTCTTATTTCATTTCATTCAACCATACGATTTCGTTCTTTCTTTCTCACTTTCTTTTTCTTTCTTTCTCCTTCCTTTCTTTGTTTTTTCTCTCTCTTACTTCCATTCTTTCTCTCTTTCTTTCTTCCTTTATTTTTCTTTCTTTTTTCTTTCTTTTTTCTTTCTTCTTTCTCTCTTTCTTTCTTTCTTCCTTTCTTCCTTTTATTCTTAGTATATTTGAATTCTTATTTCTTTTGATCATTTCTTTCTTCCTTTCTTTCTTTTTTTCTTTCTCTCTTTCTTTCTTCCTTTCTTTCTTAGTACATTTGAATTCTTATTTCATTTCATTCAACCATACGATTTCTTTCTTTCTTTTTTTCTCACTTTCTTTCTTTCTTTCTCCCTTCCTTTCTTTCTTTTTCTGTCGCTTAATTTCACTCTTTTTTTCTTTCTTCCTTTATTTTTCTTTCTTTTTTCTTTCTTCATTCTCTCTCCTTCTTTCTCTCTTTCTTTCTTTCTTTCTTTCTTTCTTTCTTTCTCACTTACTTTTTCTTTCTTTCTCCTCTCCTTTCTTTTTTTTTCTCTCTCTCTCTTTCTTTCATTCTTTCTCTCTTTCTTTCTTCCTTTATTTTTTCTTTCTTACTAAATTTTCATTCTTCTTCCCTTTTATTCAACCATATGAATAATTGATTTTTCTTCTTATTTTTATGTCAGTTCGTTTTATTTCATTTTCTCTAAACGTGTGATTTTTTTCTACCTTCCTTTTCTAGTCCTGGGTATGACGATAAACTACATCCGACAGTAAGGCCTCCGATCGGGAGATTTGAGATATTGAGGAGAGGAGAACCACCTCTTAATTGCTTTAGTTCTCTAGTCCACCCTGAACCGGAGTGGTAGCACCTTTAGGGAGACCCAGCTATGGGAAAATAGTGAACTCCCAAACAAAATCAAAACACTATGAAAGTATAAAAATACATTTTATAGTAAAAATATCGGCAATACATTTTTATATAGTAAAATTACCATCAATACCTATTTATAATAAAATTACCAACAATACATTTTTAAAGAAAAATGACCAGCAATTCATTTTATAGTAGAATTAGTAACAATACATTTTATATCAAAATGATCAATAATACATTTTATCTGTAGTTGAAGGCATACAATTGCGTCCAAAATATATTTAGTTGGAGCCATAGAATTGTATTCAAGATATTTAGATTTCGGCATTAAATAACCCATAGAAGTTGATGAGCAAAATTAACTAACAAACCTTTCTTTTTTTCATTTTCTTTCTTTTTTTTTAATTCTTTCTTTCTTTTCCTCCTTGCCATAATTTCATTCCTCTTGCTTCCTTTCATTCAGTCATATGATTGATTTCTTTCTTCTTATTTAACTTCCTCTAATCGTATGATTTCTTTCTTTCATTCATTAACTCATTCTTTCATACTTAGTATATTTTTATTCTTCTTATTTCATTTCATTCAAATATATGATTGTTTCTTTCTTTCTTTATCCTGTTGCTCTTTTCCATTTAAGTGCAATTTGTTTATTTCGTATGACTCTCCTTTTCTACTATCATTCTTTACTCTCCTTTTTTCTCCTTTCATTCCTTATTCTCCGTTTTCTTTTTTCATTCCTTACTCTCCTTTATCTTATTTCATTTCTTACTCTCCTTTTTCTCCTTTCATTCCTTACTCACCTTTATCTTATTTCATTTCTTACTCTCCTTTTTCTCCTTTCATCCCTTACTCTTCTTTATTTTATTCCATTCCTTACTCTCCTTTTTCTTCTTTCATTCGTTACTTTTCTTTCTAATCCTCTTTCTTCTTCCATCTTTCATCCCTTCCTGTCTCGTCTTCTCTCTTATCGCTTCTGTTGTCTCCTCTCTTGCCTTCTCTCTCGTCTCGGTTCTTGCCTCATCTTTTTCCCCTCTCTTCGTTATTGCTTCATTTTTTTTTTTCATTCTATTTTCCTCTTCTAAACGTATCGTTTTTTTTTGTTGTTGTATAATATTATCTGTCACAACATTGATTTATACTCCTCACTTTGGATTCTTTCCGTCTAACAAAGTTCCCTTTTCGGGGTAGGGCCAACTTGTGGTGTGGCATTCAGGCACTTCCTAATGATGTTGCATCCTGGGATTTCTATGAATCCTTTCGTAAAAATCCTTTCTATTATCTCAGTGTCATGCAACAGCGATGTTACTTTTTTCTTATTTTATGTCCCTTCAGAACCCTTCATGGTTCTTCACAATTCCTGATTCTTTGTAACACTTAATAAAGTTTGTCTTTTTTCTATCTCTCCTCCACCAATCCAATTTCTGCCAATCATTTACACATGCTCCTTAGATAGGGTATGTACTGCTTTCCTCTGTTCCTCTTGCTTTCAATATGACCTTGTGAGTGTCAAATTTTCTTATCCTGTTCTCGTCGTTTTTCCTTAGAAATTTCAATTGTCTCTTTCTGGGTTTAAGAAGGAGTGATTCTGTTCTTTTTCATTTTCTCTAAAACTTCGGTCAATGTTATTCTCAGCGTCTTTCTGCAGAATCATATTTCTGTAGTCTCAGGTCTCTTCGTCATATTGAAAATCTGGTATTACATAATAATTCAGTACTCTTTTCTACGATTCTAGCGAAATTTCTGGGTTTCTTGATACTGTGCTTAGACATCTTGTTTCTTTTTTTCATATCCTCATTGGTCTTCTAGTATGAATTGATTTCTCCAAGCCGCTGGCATATTTATTTTTTATTGAAAAAAAAACGTTAAAATGTCCTTCCTTTCTGCCGTTGGACGATGGCCTGGGGGTAAGAGGTCATATCATTCGGGTTTCGATCCCGGCTTGAAGCAATCGAATGTCTAGCCACACTGAAGAGCTGTAGTACAGCGAAACAGTCTGTCTGTGGATGACTATATATACAGACAAACCTATCTCCTTTCCAGAGTTGAATAAGATTGACGCACTTCTCGTCAGATGAAATAGATATATACCCATCCGTATAAGGTAATTTTGAATTTTGTAGTGTTATATATATATATATATATATAATTATTTATTTAAAAATATGATTCCAACTCGCAACATAAGAGATCTATGAGATCTCTTATGTCGCGAGTTGGAATCATATTTTAAATAAATAATTATATTTATGCTCTACTTTTGTATCGAGCACTATTTTTAAAAATAATAACAAAAATACTAATGAACTTTGGATTATTTACCAAACCAGTTCCTTCCTATTTTCTATATATTTTCACACACACACACACATATATATATATATATATATATATATATATATATATATATATATATATATATATATATATTATTTTGTATGTGGAAAGTGCTCGATATAAGTGATAGAAATGACATATTCAGTTGTATGGATATGAGTTTGTAACCCTGGGCTTCACGCTTTTGCGATGATCAGACAAATTCCTGATTTGTCTGATGATCGCAAATGATGAAACAAAAATCAAACTCATATCGATAAACTCATATCGATATATATATATATATATATATATATATATATATATATATATATATATATATATATATGTATCTATGTATAACAGCGATGTCAAGTATAGTATGAAGTCAAAAATGCTGACATGAATGTGACATTGAGAGAAAAGATATTTGTCAAACAGTTTTTGCAATAAAGTGCTCGATATGAAAGACAAATCAATAATAGGATTAATATGAATAAAAATTTGTCACTTATCTGTTTGATATTACCTTCAGCATTCTGACTCCAGAGTTTGGTAGGTGAACCTGTGTCCACTCTTCAGGGGATATCAACAATTTACGAGAGAAAATTGCTGAGGACCCTGAAAAGTTCGCCTACGAAACTCTGGAAGCAGGATGCTGAAGATAACATCAACCAGCTAAGTGACAAACTTGTACTCAAATTAATCATATATATATATATATATATATATATATATATATATATATATATATATATATATATTATAAAAAGAGAAAGAACAGTAAGATATATAATCCGATATTCTTATTAATATTTCTATTTTTACAAAACAGTGCTCAATGCAAATCTACAGAGCATAAATATTATAAATTTACTTATTTAAAAATATGGTTCCATCGCTACACAGGAATTACCATGTTTCAAGACATGGTAATTCCATGTGTATTTTAATTATTCTAATTAAAATACACTCGAACAATATACTGAAAAAAAAAGCTTCTTTTTTATGTTTTAAAATACACAAAGCTGTGATGAAAACTTCTCGGTACGTCTTATTTCCCACACTCAATATTTCCATTACCAAATATCAGAACACTGATGTGGGGAAGCGCGTAGGGTCAAGAACTTTCCAGCAGTCCCTTATCAAAATCTAAAAACCTTCCTTTTATATGCCTAAAGAATAATATTTTAGGATAAGCCGGAGCTTATATAAGTGACATATTTCGTGCAAAGAAACAAAGAATTATTTTTCGAACTGTTTTTATTCCCGGAGGATTTCAAACCTTATTGAAATCCACTCCCTATTTTAAGAGCAATTATAAAGACCAAAATGAGAACGCCCGCAATCAAAGACTACTGTTCTATTTGACTTGATTACTGTGTCGACCCTGAAAACAGAGTTCAAAGAAATATGTAACCCCCCCACACATACACACACACATACACACAAAAATGTGCCTAAAAATTCTTACCGATTTATACTGGAATAAGGCGTGTCACGAAAACTCTTAACACAGTGTTTCGGGATGGAGTAATAGTTAATTAATGTTCTTCTTTTTTAATCATTCCCCCCTCGCCCCAGCAAGGCAATAAAGCCACTAAGACACTGGAGGTTACTGAGTGTGAAAGAATATTTTAAAACAAAATTATTAAAAGAGCGAGAACAATAAATTAAGTCTACCATTCATCCATGCTTTGAATATTGCTGCCACCTATGGTTCAGTGCCCCTGCTATTTACCTTGCGCTCCTTGATAAAATCCAAAGAAGAATCAGCAATATTATTGGTCCTGATCTGACAGCTCGGCTTCAGTCGCTTTCCCACCGCCGTAAGATTGCCTCTCTGTGTCTTTTCTATAAATAATTTCATGTTAATTGCTCAGATGAGCTCTTCACTATGGTACCTAGATTTTTAAAAATTTAAACGCAGTACTTGACTGTCGTTGCGATCTCATCAATTTACAGTTGAGATAGCTATATGTAGCCGTAATTTCTATGCTAAAGGTTTCTTCTCTCGCACTTCTCGCTTGTGGAACTCCCTTCTGGCACCATGCTTTCCAGCCAACTTTAATCTGCACAAATTTAAATGCAATGTCAATCGCTATCTACTGTCCTCCTAATTACTCTCTTCTCTTTCTGCACATTAATGTTTCTGTTTTTAATTCTTCAACACCTTCTAACCCCTTGTGTCTTAGTGGCTTTATTGACTTGCATGGGGTGATACCGATTTATAAAACACACACAAAAAAAAATAAAAAGACAGAAGATAAATATTGACACTGCATTTAATTTTTGACGATCAAACTTGACTGGAAATCAAGAAGCCGGAACAGAGTTCCACAAGCGAGAAGTGCAAAAAAATAAACTGCTAGTATAGAACTTACGGTTAAATATAGAAATTTCAACTATAAAATCATGAGACCTTACTGCCAATCTAGTACTGCGCTTAAATTCATAAGGTCTAGGTA